ATACTCCTCTCCTGCACATAAGGCCCTTTGTCATACCCGCTACACTCCTCTCCTGCAAAAAAAATAAAATAATTATGAAAAATAAACAATAATAAGATAAAAAATTATAAAAAAAGTAAATAAGATAAATAAAAATCTAAAAAAAAATAAAATGGATAAAAAAATATTAAATAAATAAAAATTAAAAAAAAGAAGAAATAATTAAATAAAAAAATAAAAAAGTGATAAAAAGGTTAAAAAAATAAAGAAACAGTAAAATTAAATTACACTAACCGCGCCGCCCTGCCATCTGGTTGCCATTCTCCATTGATGGGAAGGGGGGTGGGGGTGCATCGCAGAACCTGGCTTTGGGGCGGCAGGGAGAGTAAATCCGGCTCTGGTCATACCCTCCACACTCTTCTCCTGCTAATACTGGCCATGAAAACACTTCTTTAGCATTTTTTTTTAATTCCCAAACTTTCCCATTCTGGAACTGGCACACTTTTGCTAGTTTAAAAAGAAAAGGAGAGGAGAGGCTTAACTTCACTTTAGTATTAAACCATTAATATCACACAGAACATGCAAGAGTCCTCTTTGAAATAGATTAGGGCCACCCTTTTCTGTGCAGTAGGGCCACCCTAGATTAGGGCCACCCTTGCAGTGAGATATAACAAGTTTTTGTGCAGGAAACCAAATATCTAATTTGTCTCAAAGATGACAGAGAATGAATAGTCATAATGACATTTAAGTGATGCTTGGTGAGGATGTAAAGTCAGTGGTCTCTGTATTTCGGTATCTTCATATTTTGTGGTGCAGTAGCAGAAGTAATAGGGAACACTTTGTCATACAATACTTGTAGGAGGAAGGGTTTCTTCACAGAAGGCAGACAATGTGAGAAGTGAGTTCAGAGTCAGACTACACAGGGTCTCGTACAATGATAAGTGTCTCTGGGGTAGCTGGGAACCTGCAGGACCAAACAATGATTGCTTATGTCATTTGCTTCTCTCTCTTTCATCTGAATGGTGAGTATTGAATGTTAGTAAGCATTCACCATCGTAAATAAGCTTGAGATAATAGTGCTGATATTTCTATTTCCTGATGACGATTTGTATCAATGTGTTTCTTTATTCTCGGTGTAAATGTTCTCATTGACATATTGTGCTTCCTGATCTAGTGTATAACTCTTTTGTGTCCCTAAATGGAGAAAGTAAACTGCAACACCAGACTTCATCAACGTTCTATAACCTTCCCGGACCTAAAGTGCAGCATGCTGCAATTCTAACCCAACTAGTTCCTTTTTTTCCATTATACCCTGAGGGCTAGTTCACACCAGAACTGTATGTGTCTGCGCAGCTGCAATGCGATGCGTTTTTACCGCGATTGTTGCGTTTTTGATCTTTTTTTTGCTTATAATAGGATTTCAGGTGTGTTCCAGTGCATTTGCATGTGGTTTTAATGCGTTCTGGTGCAATTCATTGCAGCTCAAATAGGACGAGCAGTAGAGCTGCAGCTAACGATTATTTTCAAAATCGATTAGTTAGCCGATTATTGAGTTCGATTAATCGGATAAAAAATAAAATACATTTTAAAAAATGGCTCCAGTGATGAGCTACTAGTTTGTATTGAGATTGTAGTCCATCACGGGAGCAAGCTTGGAGCAGTGATAGTAAATAAGAAAAAAAAAGTGTGGTGTGCAATATAGTGAAATGAAAAAAGTGTAAAACTATATAGCAATGAATGCAGAATGGCACCGGCTATAGAGGACTACAAATCCCAGCAATAGTACATTATACAGCACAATACAGAATACCACCAGCTACAGAGGAGTACAACAAATCCCAGCAATACATTATAGCTGGCGGTATTCTGCATTGCGCTGTATAGAGGACTACAAATCCCAGCAATAGTACATTATACAGTGGTGCAATGCCGAATACCACTAGCTATAGAGGACTACAAAACCCAGCAATAGTACATTATACAGTGGTGCAATGCCGAATACCACTAGCTATAGAGGACTACAAAACCCAGCAATAGTACATTATACAGTGGTGCAATGCCGAATACCACTAGCTATAGAGGACTACAAAACCCAGCAATAGTACATTATACAGTGGTGCAATGCCGAATACCACTAGCTATAGAGGACTACAAAACCCAGCAATAGTACATTATACATACAGTGTATAATGTACTATTGGTGAGATTTGTATTACTCTGTATAATATATAGCACAATGTACCATCAGCTATAGTGGAATACAAATACCAGCAATACATTATAGAGCACCATGAGTGCAAGCTTACCTGAGCAATCTTCCAGCAACTTGCTTCTGAGAATAGGGCCTGTCTATCGGGTGGATTGTCGTCCCCCACACCTGCTCCTCCTTACTTCTTCTCTCCGCGTCCCTGTGCAAATCGTGGATGTGAAAGGCAGGGGGGCGTGAGGCGGGGAGGAGGTGCGGCGTGTGGAGCATGGGTGCGGGCATGTCTGGCAGCGGCGAGCGAGAGGAGGTGCGGCGCGCAGCTTGAGTGGAGCCGTGAACAGGGCCAACTAACCAGAAGCCGATTAATCGATGATTGAAAAAGTTGACAACTTTTTCAATAATCGCTTATAATCGATTATGTCGATTAGTTGTTGCAGCCCTAACGGACAGTATTTTTTCTGACTGCATCGGAACAGACTGCACTGGTGTGAATAGAGCACCAGAAATCCCATAGAAAAAGCATTGTGATGTATTGGCTGCAGCAGCCAAACTGAACGGACTGCATCACAACTGCATCTGGTGTGAACTAGCCCTGAGAGAAACAAGTGTCTATTCTTTTTTTTCACCCAGCAATAAAATAGAAAGGATTTATTAAGTAGTTAAGACTAAATGAAAATAGGAACATAAAATTGCACTAGTTATGAAAGGAAAAACACCCCCAAGCAAATAACCGGACTTTTTAAGTCTTTGTTTCAGTTTTTGAGATAATATTAAAGCATCCATATTTAAAAGAATAAAACATAAGGATTAGTTCTTCCAGGGGCAGGGACTATGTTTCCATGTATTTATAAAGTCCAAATATCCAGTAATGTCCCCTCTGGCTCTCTCCTGGAACAGCTGAGATAAACAAGACCATGACCGTGTTACAATGTCTGGTGCACTTCTAACCTTGGAAATGTACTTTTCTCTGGCTCCATGTCTGATATGTGTACCAGAGTTGCACTAGCCATAGGAGGCAGCAGTTACATTTTTTAGACCCACACTAGGCCCAATTTAGACAACAGCCAGTTAACCTATCAGCATGTCTTTGGAGTGTGGAAGGAAGCCAGAGTAGGTAGAAGAAACCCAAACAATCACAAGGGAAAGATACAAACCCCCTGCAGATAGCCCCCAAATTCTGCCGCTGCTACATCCCGCACAAAAACTAAGCTGATGATTACCTGTGCCCACTGTGTGCCTTCTAGGTCCCCAGTACAGGTACAAGGACACTCAATCACTGCAAAAAGTCTAGGCGGCTGTATGGGGCCAGACACTGCCATAGTGGCCGTACAGGCAGGAGGAGATAAGAGAAGATACCTGTACAATGGCCCAACCATTGGTATAAGGATATTGCTGCAATCAGCAGAGGCAAGGCCAGGTGTTGTGTGTGTGTGCATCTATAATGTCCATCTATTAGATGTCATGTATGCATCTGCCATTCATTAAAGGGGATCTATGAGGTAAGTGATTTTCACTCATCCTCATAGTTAGAGCCGACCTGTGACAAAGAAGACCTGTGACTGGTCGGCTCTATCGATTGGGAAGTAAGCAGAAACATGCACCGATCCGCTCACTTCTTGATCATCTCCCTGCAGTGAGCCGTGACTGGTTGTCACTGCTCCCTGCGGCGATTTCCCCCCTCCCCTCTCCGAGCCTCCAGCGCTAAGTGGAGGAACTAGCCCGCCGTCCTCGTCCCCGCCGCTACGATAGCCTCCGGTTCTCTTCCCTTGATAAATAAAATGTATCAAGGGGAGAGAACCACAGCAAGGGCCGCTCTCAGGGAATCTGCCGCTCCAGGCAAACGCCTTGTTTGCCTCGCGGCAGATACGCCCCTGGGAACGGACGGGGGTGGGGCGGGTACAGCTGGCTCTGCCTCTAGATAGGCAGAGCCAGCTGTCACTCACGCAGCTGGGTGGATCTCGACAGTATTGTCGGGATCCGTCCCGGCTGCGGCGCTCTCAGTATATGGCGGGCTATTGCCTGCCATATACTGAGCTTTGGGTCACAGGAGGAGGTTGTATGTCCTCCCGTGACTATGAAGAGAACTATGGGGGAAAACACTTACCCCATAGTTCTCTTTTAAGAAGCAAAGGGGGGTGTATATGAGAAGAGCAGAGCTGCAAGGAGACAGTACTCCCCCCCCCCCCCCCAAATATTCATTATAATTTTAATTAAAATGTATCTAAATCCAGAAACCAATATTTAAACTATTACAGCTTACCGGTCACTAGATATGGTGGGTGCATGGGACTGCAGGCAACACTTATATACCACTATAATAAATAAAGACACAAAACACCATATTTGGCATAAAAATTAATGGTTGCCGCATTGACATGGAAGTGGGCCTCGTATTCAAGTTGCCCTCTTAACCATTAGTTGTTTTTTTTCTTCAGGATTTTTCGCCTTTTTCACCTGGTAACACAATACATCTCCATCATGTCAATGTATCTACAAGGGGAGCCATGCTTGTCACACAGGCTGGACTTCAAGTATGTCTGCCTGTGGCAAGCTGCAATATATTCAATTTGGGTTTTTGGGTTTAGATACGTACGCTTTAACTGCCAAAAATATACATATGATCCCCTACTAAGCTGTAGAGAATACTGATATCTCTTTGTTTTTCTCTGCAGCTTGGTCAGGAAGAGCTGAACATGTGACAGGATCAGTAGGTGATACAATAACCCTTCCCTGTCACTATACTGTTCATAAACTCACACACAGCATGTGCTGGGGACGAGGTACATGTCCAAGTTCTGGGTGTAATGAACTTATCATGCAGACTGATGGCAGCAAAGTGACCTGGAGAAAATCTGACACATATCAATTACTGGGGAACATAACACAGGGGGACGTGTCACTGACCCTCACTGTTGTGAGCGAGAAAGATGGAGGAACATACTGCTGTCGGGTGGACATCCCTGGATGGTTCAATGACTTAAAAGAAAACATTGATGTGAAGATAATCAGTAAGTGTCACCTTTATATTCTCAGTCAAAATGATTTTATAAATTCTATAATATACAGATTACAGATAATCACTTAGTAATTGCTGAGACAGATGTGATAATAAAATAGAGTGAGTTAATATCACATATATTTATAACTGTAATGGTCAATAGTTAGACAAATGTTCACAGTATGGGCAGGTTCACACCATTTTCCGGACCAGATCTGAAACGCAGTGCATTGCGTTTTTGTCGCGTTTTTACAGCGTTTGGAATTTTTTACATTTTTAATATTTTTTTTGCATAAAATGGTCTTACAGGTGTGTTGCAGTGCGTTTGTATGCTTTTAGGAAAATAGATAAGGATAAGCAGTATTTTCTTTTCTGGTCTGGAACGTGTGAACAGAGGCCAGAAATAGAATAGGGATACATTAGGATGCATTTTGGGTCCGGAAACAATCTGGTCTGGTCTGGAGATGATCCGGACATGATGTAAATGGCCCCCAAAGCTGGCCATACACCTATAGATTATCTGCCAATTTTCTGTGGTCAGATGGAAAAAGTGCAACAGATTCCTCCATCTACGCTAAACTATGTGGATGGAGGAATCTCCCACTGGGCCAAGCTTCAGTATCATACTAGTCGGCCCCGCTGGCTCTCACATTACATGAACAATGCCTGCATCCAATCAGATTTGTCAGGTGTTTTGAGAGCCAGCGGGGCCAACTAGCAAGATACTGAAGCTTGGCCCAGTGGGAGATTCCTCCATCTACACAGCTGGGCACTGAACTGTCTGCAACTGATTGTCATGTTCCAAAGATCAGATGGATTATGTTTTATCTCTAATAAAGTCCAAAATATTAGTCGTAGAGAGATGATCTTTTTCTCTCTATACAGTTGCAAAATGGTTTGTCCTGGTTGAACAGAACTGCCCAGGGACCAACAGACCAGATATGTGGACCCCAAATAGTCATGCAGTGTTTGCACTTGCTGTGATTGGGATGATGTCCTGGTGTCAGAAATCCGAACTCTGACCCAGCCATTATAATGGCCACAGTGAGTTTGTACCTCAAGAGGTGATTGGTCAAGGGTCAGGCTGGGCACACACCTTACAACCATCGCAAGACTTTTGTCTTGCGATGGTTGTAAGGTACTTAAAAAAACGTACGATCTGCCTATGTTCCATAGGCAGATCGTACTTGCGATGATCGCAAGCCACGCCCCCTGAGGGGCGGGCTTCCGATGACCGCAATGCCGAACAGGCAGTGTGCGCTTGCGCACACCGGCCCGTACGGCTGTTATCGTACGGACATGCCACAAACCCACCGAACATCGTACGATGCTCGGCGGGTTTTCGAACATGTCCGTAAGTTTAAAGTCGTGCGACCTTACAGTAGTAGAGGTCGCACGGCTTCCACACACCTTACGATCATCGTACGATCGCGGGATTTCCCGCGATTATCGTACGATAATCGTAAGGTGTGTGGGGACCCTTAGAGTAGCATGAAAATGAACAGGGTATTTTGTATGGAGCCTGTTCTGAAGAAGGCATATTGTGTGGCTTCTGCGTACTAAGTTAAGAATTCATACTCCTAGGAAGACTGTTGCATTGTGTTACCAATGTCTGTATGCTCGGTCAGAAGTTAATTGCTAAGCTGTACGACATTGCATTGTGTGACTGCTGATTGCATGAAGATTAGTGTCAGTGTGTAGTATCTGCCAGACAAGTATCTGTATGGTTGCCTGGCAGACCATTCAGCTGAGAAACTGCAGGTGGTGGCAAGCTACCATAGGCCATTTGTCTGGTGTGTGTCTGGGCAGTGGGAAAAGTGATAACACAAGGATTCTAGCTCGCAGGATAGCTTGAGGAATAACAGAATTGTGTGGTAATTACTTGGCTTCTCCATAGCCTGTAGAGTGCACTAGATTGTATGCAGGATTTCTATCTGCCTGCCTGTGTTCAGACAGCTACATTCAATACCCTCTAGTGATAGTCAGGGGTATTGCACTATCACAGCTGGTTTTACTTTCCCAAAATAAGCTCTCTCCTCATTTCTCATCCACCAAAACTCAGTTTTGTCACCATGGGCATGATTTCCTTGACAACAGACATCAGGATTTAAATATAAGTACAACTTTGCCCTCATTAGTCCACAACTTCGAGAGGGCAGAATAGACAGTAAGACTTCCACTGTAAGAAGTATCAGCATGTAGGCCCACTGTTTTCCTATAGCAACAAGAATTGTTAACACTTCTTCTACTCTCTCTTTATAGAAAGGTATGAAGACACTACACGTGTTACAGAACAAGTCACTACAAGAAGGGAAGAAACATCCAATACAGGTAATGTGGCTTGGCCTGACACCTTCCACCTGGGGAACACCACAGACACTGGTTGAAGTCCTGCAGCAGATAGACAACAAGAGAGTGCTGATCGGTGAATATACATTGCTGGAGGGTGGGATGGGGCTGGCACTGTCACTCCTCCCTGAGCAGAGTCTCCTGGAAGCCCACCTCTGGCTAACATCTGTGTCCTAACTGGGGAGATTTCCCCTCCGTTCCTCTCCGGATAGGAAGTGATGGAATATTTCTCCACAGGGAAAAGGACAAAATAAAACATTTTTGCTGAGTGGTGAAGGGTTGAAAAGTCTGTCAGTATTTTTAGTGCTGTCCAGAGGCTTGTAAGGCTACGGGACAATTACTTCCCCCATTTCATAAGGGTGTCACAGGGACTGGTAGTGTTGGAGAATCCCCCCATTAGGGTCAAAGACAGAAATAAATGCTTGAAAAACAAATTTGTCTGCAGTTAGGTTTTAATAAAGGTTTTGACACGGGGCCATGGGGGTGATATTATGTGGTTGTTTCATCTTCTTGTATAGGGTCTTCTGTGTATACGGAGAACCATTCTGTGCACCTGTGTTGGAACACCAAATAATGTGTTTGTGAGTTCCCCAGCGTATGCAGTCTGAATGATATACACACATTTGTCCATTCTTTAGTGGAGTTCCTGTAAATCAAATTCCTCTTTATTCATTTCTAAGGTTGGCAGCAGTGACACGCTTACAATAACATAATGTTAATCATTTACATTAATATATGTTTGATGTCATTTATACCTTTAGATGTGAACACCTCCGGCACATTCACAACAATAACTGTGAAGACGACATTTATAGGCTCGGAGGTAAAAATACAATTTGTTACTTGGAAAATTCTCAACCTGAAAATGTTTATAGTAACATGTCCTGCATGGGCAAAGCATAGGGTCACTTCATGTTTATCTCCAGGGAAATTATAAAAAAATATTCAGTATGACTCTACAATACATGTGCGTTCCCCATGTTTTGTCTGTTTAAAAAGCTGCGAGTGCAGAACAATGCCTAATGATCTGCCCAAAATCCTCGAGCTCCTAACGTCTTGCAGTTAGATGACAAAGCTACCTCTGCTGCACTAAAATCCTAAGCAGTGTTGTCATTCCTGCCTGAGTTCTCTCCTGCTGGACTACAGTACCTCTCCCCAGTGGTGTATTTTGGTTTTGTGCTGCTCTAGGCAAGACTAAACTCAGGCACCCCCCTCAATCTAAATTTTCCCCCCCCCATCCTGTTTAGGACATTTTGTGCAACCTGTCAGTCACTGGATATAGCCCACACGGGGTCTCAGGAGAGCTGTACACGGTCTCAGGTGGGCTCTGCATAGTCCCTTTCCCTGCATACATGTGCAGCTCGAAGTGCCATCAGTACCAACAGTATACATTGCAGTCCCCAGCCTGCTTCTGGGACATCCCACCATCAGATCACATGCTATGGCCACCCCCGAGCCACCCGCTGCTTCTCCTCCACCTCCTGTACAAAGCAAGCTGGACCGCATCTCACTGGACCCTCCCCTCCACCAGACAGCTCTATAATTAGGCAGCCGCTCTTAGGGCGGCCTAGTTTGCCTCTTTGCCTGATTCTGTGCCGCCCAGCCTCAGCCCACTGGGCAAGTGCCCAGTATGCTCAAGGGCAAGTCCGGCCTAGTCCACCTCATTGGTTTGGGTGGCGTTTTCTGCCACCCCCCTGGAAAGTGCCGCCCTAGGCAAATGCCTAGTTTGCCTTGCAGTAGATACACCCCTGCCTCTCCCCCTCTACTTATCTCCGTAGCACAAGGTTAGGTACTCTGTAGTCCATCAGGGGAGAACTCAGAAGGGCTGACAATGCTGTTTGTTGTATCATGGCAGGAGAAACAGCGTTATCAGCTAAAAGAATTAGAGTTAGAATCACAGTAGATTTCTGGCAGATCAACAGGTATATTTTCTGTACCTTCTGCATTTTTAAAGGGATCCAACCTGGGGAAATGTGAATGTTTTCTTGTTTTGTGGATATGTATTGCGCATGTATATTTTTTGTTGTATTTTGCCCAGATGTACATTTTAGGAATGTGGGATGCTCATACAATCTGAGTAGGGATCGGTCTGGTCAATTCTGATCCAGTCACTGGAATGCAGACACTAGGATACGTAGGGACAGATTCATGAGTACGGTCATCATAAAGTATATATTATTACATTGTGAAGCATTTACTTCAGGATTGGAGGAATGCTTTTAGAATAAAGAAATATCTTTTTTTGCCAACAAAAGGTAACTTTAAATATTCTTTCTTTTTTCCAGGAATCTGAGAAATTACAGGATGATCCTAAAAATGTAGCCGTTTATGTTATCACTCTGGTTCTTTTCATCCTTCTGGTGTCACTGATGCTATACACATGTAAGAACTTCTATACTGACACTGAAAATATGCCTCATGCTTTGTGTAAGGGATAATAGTACAGATCACACTGGGGCTGGTGGTAAACATGTCTGTTGGTGGAAGGATCCGGGCAAAATGCAACTTTCACCCATCTATAGGCTCTAAGCTGGTTAAAGCTGATTTATGTTTTCTTTGGTCACCATGCGTACTTCACACCTTTTCTTTTTATCTTAAAATCCTGCCTGACACATCTCAAACCACGACCTGTTTAAAGACTACACCAGACCTAAGAATTCTACTGCAAATATGCACAACCAAAGAAGAAAACACACAGAGCCACGTCCCCCTAAAGAAACTTTAATGTGCACCAAAACACCATGATTACATAACGTCAGGTGTCCCCTTACATCAGAGTGTCCCCTTACATCAGAGAATCCCCAAGTCTGCAATGACTTCCCCTTACATCAGAGAATCCCCAAGTCCTCTATGACTGCCCAACACAATAGGGCTGCATAAAGTTTACAAACACTAGCATTTTGAAACCTACTACCGTAGCTGTATACAAAGTACCCTGGGATCGTCTATAGAAGGGGTATTGAATTAAAATTCAAGGGGGTTCAGTCAGTAAAAGGTTCTCCCAGCAGAGTTCCGAATCTCATGTCTGTTCCTTGACTCAGATCCTTGTATACTGTATATATAGTTGTTCCCTAAATCAGGTATCCCCATTAGAGTGCCTCCTTACATGAGATGTCCCCACAAGTATGCCAACTTAAATCAGGTGTCCCCATCAGAGAGTCCCCTTACATCAGAGTGACCCCTTACATCAGGTGTCCCCATCAGAGTGCCCCTTTTACATCAGGGGTCCCCATCAGAGTGCCCCTTTTACATCAGGTGTCCCCATCAGAGTGCCCCTTTTACATCAGGTGTCCCCATCAGAGTGCCCCTTTTACATCAGGTGTCCCCATCAGAGTGCCCCTTTTACATCAGGTGTCCCTGCCCATCAGATTCCCCTTACATCAGAGAGTCCCCTGGGATCAGGTGTCCCCATCAGAGTGCCCCTTTTACATGAGGTGTCCCCGCCTATCAGATTCCCCTTACATCAGAGAGTCCCCAGGTGTCCCCATCAGAGTGCCTCCTGTGGAAGCAGGCTGCAGGTCTGGATGGAGAAGGTTCCATTTTCACCCTCCTGTGACGCTGGGGACGGGGCACACATGTGACATCATTGGTTCTAAGTATTAGTAATATCTCCACCGCACTCCGTACCAATACACTCTTCTTCTAAATTCCTTGGGGTGCTGTAACAACTGGTGGATGGCACCACAGCATACACTATACGATATGTTGTCCACACACCATTCAGCTTTAGAATATTCTCTTTGTTGACATAATGTGTGAAAAAACAACAAGTCTAAGTATCACTGACGTTCCTCTCGTCCATTACAAGTCCATTGAATTGCATTGGATATGAGAACGCCGAGGGACATTCCACAGCCGGAGCGGAGTTCTCCTTTAAAATCAGCATCTTTGATGTAATTGGTTGAAGGTAGTGTCTGACAGTGACGTGCCGTGCCTTCTGTGCTGGGTGAGGCATCCCCCAGCCCGCCGAAGCCCCGTCCCATCATACTGAAGCCCCGCCCCAGCTCGGTAACCAAGCTGTGTGGGGAGGAGGAAGGGAGGAGCCACCCTGTCCCTCACTTGCTCGCCGCTGCTGAGGCATCGAGATCGATGGCCTCAGTGGGTTTTTTTTTCTTTTTTTGATTGGACAGCTTGGACCAATGGCGCTTTGCCATTGGTCCAAGCCATACACAGAGATCACGCCTCTAACACAGAGTAGAGGCTGTGACAGCTCTTGCCTCACCAAGTTAGGTTACACAAGTAATGGGGAAGCCCGCTGCTGTGTAACCTAACTACCTGTCAAAGGTTGGATGCAGCGCTGCCTGTAATTAACAGGCAGCGCTCCATCCATGACAGGTTACACAGCGGAGAGGATTTCCATACATAATGGGGAGGATTTCCCTGCTGTGTAACCTGTAACAAGCCGCTCTGAATGGAGAAAAAGCTGTCGGATTCAGACATGAAGCTGACGCCTTTTTCCTTCATACTAGATGAGGCTCTGCCTCCCCTGACCGCACGTCCCTGGTGTCTGAGTACTGCCGCTCTTTATTACTAATTCCATGTTCTGGGAACCCCCTTTTCTTACCAGTCAGTAAAGCAGGAGTTGTATTCACAAATCCACCCACTGCAAAACTCCCAAAGGAAGTGTAGTCTTTATTACCTGAAGAACAGATGGAGCCTTGTTTAATAATAATTCTTAGACTGCTCAAAGCTGACAAGCAGGAGTGAGAGGGCCACACGGGTCCCAAAGCCCATCAGTATGACACATGTGAAGCTTGCCATGCAGTCATATGGCCAGTGTGCTGGTATAACTGCATAACACGTCAGATAATAGTGAATGTAATAAAATGTTTTTGCTCTTCATTACAACAAACTTTATTTGTATCTACAGGGAAATTCTACAAAGCCAAAAAGACTAAAGCAGACAGGTAATAACAGGTTTGGGAAATGTGTGAAATAAGGTCTGTGTTGTCCAAGAAACCAGATTTCAGTCTCACATTTTCCAGGGCAGGTTTTAATCTGATTGGATGATTTGTACAATACGAATAGTTCTTGGTCAAACACAGATCTTGCAGTACTCTCTCTCCTGTGCAGTATATTTCACATTTACACCCTAAAGACAAACTGGGCAACTGTTTAAAGAAAGGAATTTCATCTAGTTATACATGCGTGATCAAAAATCAGAGACCCTGCACCTTCCCCATGCAGGACAAGGCTCCAAATTGCATAGGCGGGGCCCTCTGTCCCAATGGGACAGCACTGGCGCTTGGCGATTAGACACTCAGTGCTGCATCCTGCATCCTCCCTCTAGTAGCTGCAGGAGAGCAAAGGGAAGATTCGTATAGACAGGAGGGCAACTATAAAAGTGAACCTGTGGCTTTGGTCTGCATGGGCTCAGCACCGGTTCTTTATTTTGCGCACTAGTATGTACTTTTACAAACTGGCATTCGTACTTGAATGTCTTAATGTCGTCCTCCTGTAAACGTCTGCGCAGCAGTACTAAGTCAAGAAGAGAAGGGATCAGCATTCCAAGCTAGTCACACAGTCCATGGCTTTGCACAGTGCTAGTTAAGCTAGCACTTTTAACATGCTTACAGTAAGGGAAAGCACAAAGATGGCTTCTGCTCCTTTGTTGTCCAATCACAGGATGGGGGGGGGGGGGGGGGTAAGATCACCAAATATCTGCAGCCATTTTTAGCTACAGTCACCAATCAGATGTGTGAATACTATTATTTTAGCAGGGGTGGGGTAGGCAGGCACACGGAATATGGTTTTAAGGGTAAGATATGGCATTTATATGGGTGTATTACTAAAGTGGGGTACATATGGATCGAATGTCGGCTGATTAAGCAGGATTTGACAGACATTCGATCCATGAGTGGCTCAATCAGGGTCAGCATAACTAGTGTCCCCATTGGAAGGTGTGATGGGCATAGTTAAAACTCCAGTCACGGAATGCAGCCAATCACAGTCCTGCTCTGGTCTTCAAAATAACACTCCCCCCTCATATACTGAGGATACTTCCTTCTCTCCTCCGGAACTTCCTGTCTGTATGTTGCATCTTTTCCCATTTGTACCTCTTTTCCTACTTTCTTCTGGCTGAGCTATCTATTAAAAGGCCTGGGGGAGGAGAAATAAACTGCTGGGTAGCTTTAGGAATGTCCAGGCTGAGCGGCCCCTGACCCTTTAAGGGCTGCCGGCCAGGGCTACATGGGGTACAAAATTAAGGCCTTGACATTTTAGTTGTGCTTTATTGTCTATTTATTTATTTTACAGCAACGCATTAGTGATCAACATTGATGTTCTGGGAAGTGAAGGAAATCAAGCCACGGATAACATCTATACATGATTGAACTATAAACACTTTTCTTATACAGAAGATATAAAACTCCACCACCAGTTCAATTTCGGACCACCG